TCCTCCCTCCTTTCTTTAGCATTATGCTGAAAAGAAATCTTTTTGTGACACCCAGTTCAAGAGCACAGAGCAAATTGCTTCGTCCTCCCACCCTTAACTCCCAGCCACCAGGTACCTGTTCCAAGAGCAACCGTGGCTCACTTTTTTTTTAATCTTTACAAAAATGATTCTATGCATATTTCTGTGTATTTTTCATACCACTGGCATATTGTGGTTTTTTAAATTTAATGTATGGGGTGTATTTACATGTAGGATGGTCTCATTTTTGTTAATGACACTAATATTTCATTATATGCTGTATCTGTAAATTCCTAGAAACAAATTGCAGGGTCAAAGGTTGATGCATTTAAAATGTTACGTTAGTGGGCACCTGGGTGGCTCGGTTGATTAAACGTCTGCCTTCGGCTCAGGTCATGATTCCAAGGTCCAGGGATTGAGCCCCGCATCAGGCTCCCTGCTCAGCGGGTAGCCTGCTTCTCCCTCTCCCTTTGCCTGCTGTTCCCCTGCTTGTGCTTTCTCTCTCAAATAAATAAAATCTTAAAAGAAAAAAAAAAAAAACAAAAAAAAAAGGTCCTCTAATTTTTTGATACTAGTATTGATTTAAATACTTAGGACTAAGCTTTTGGTTGCTTAAATCAAATTAGATCTTATTTTTTCCTATTTTTCCTAGCTGGTAGTTTTGAATATATGAAGCCTGTTCATTTCTGTCAAAAAAAAAAGGCTTTTCGGACAACTCTTTTGAAGTTCCCTGGTAAACAGTCTTCAGTCTGAAAACCCTGTGTGTGTCTTTGCCTATTTTTCACTTCCAATTTTCCTCTTACTGGCTGTTGAGAAGAGGGCTGAGCACTGGTGGCAGCCGGCCTCCCCGCCTCCTGCTGTAGAGGGAGCTCTTCTCACCGTGACCAGGTAAGCTCACAGGAGAGAGACATGTTTCATCATGTTGGAGAAGTACCCATCCATTGCTTCTTATAAACGTGAATTATGACACGTTTCTAGTTTTCTTGCCCGTCTTTACACATTTAGTGACAAAATAATCAAGTACTGATAAATCCAAGTTTGTGGGGTTTTTTTTTCCTTTGAAAATGATTTTTTTCAGGGGAAAACAACACGAAAGAAGATAAGGCTGCTGTTTGCTAACCTAAGAGCAAAATGTGTCCACCCCTGAAAGGCAGCTGGGGGTGCCTTCAGTCTTGGGCAGGGAGGACACTTGGTGGTCTGGCCCCTGTTGACGTGTGCTTTGTTCCCACCAGCCAATTCGCTATTACAGGATCTCCAGCTTCGATCACATTCCCGATACCCTCCGTGTTATTCATACCAATAAACTCAACCTGACCACGGTGTCGTCCCAGCACTGCTGTTGCCCATCTGGTGTCTGATTTATGCCAAGGGCTTTACTTAAATAAACTTCACAGTCTCATTTCCTAGCAACAGCCTTATCTCCAGGGAGAAAGGCTCCATCTGAACAAAGTAAGTTACTTTAAGCATTTCAGCCAAATAGTCTTTTTTTTTTTTTTTGGTCTATTACCTGGTACAAATTATAGTAATCATCTTTAATTATAAATTAGTTGTCTGCATTGCACACACACCCACCCAATGTTTATCTGCACAAGGAAAAAAGCTCTAACCAAAGGACAGCTGAAATGTATGCATGAGAAGTCAGCATTGGGAGGGAGGAAACACAGCTCACGCCAGTTAACGAGCCTGAAGTTTCCCCAAGAACAGAGCTAGGTCTTATCCATCTGTGTCCCCTGCAAAGCTGAGCAGGGGTACAGGTTATGCTAAGTGCTCCAACATTGGCTAGGCTCAGCGTGGGTTCAGATTTAATATCTGCCTCGGGTCAAGACATCTCATATTCATTCTTGGCCCTGGACTCCACGTTCTAAGTTCTAGCTAAGAATCAATCTGGTCCCGACTCCTAAACTATCAGTGCCTTTTCCCTGTGGATCACATCTGTGGTCTAAGGAATGATTCTAAAACTGACTTTTTTCTAAAGACTAAGAACCTGCAAGTGTAACTCCCACTTATCAGAAATAGCTATTAAATAGCTGGGCATTTCACACAGTCTCTAAGGACACCCACAAGCTATTACTACCCCACACCTTCCTCTGCCACTGATCCTAGGACTCCTCATTCTTGGTCTTCCATTTTCCTCATCCCTGGAGTCAATCCATCTGTCCATCGGTTCCATTCTGGAATGTTTCAGACAAACCCATGTCTGGACTGGCCTGGTTGTAAGCAGGCTAAGGTGCCGTAAGAGAGGAAACTCCCCCCCCCCCCCCCCCAACCCTCACCGCCCCAACACACACAGTAGCTTAGAGAAGACAAATTATTAAAGTCTCCTGTTACAGTCTGGGGGTAAGTGACGCCATGCTGGCACCAACTCTGCCACCCTCCACAGAAGCCTTTCAGTACATTCTGATTGTTGCCATTCTCAGTCAAGAAGTGGAGAAGATGGAGAGACTGCTCCGGAGGGCAGGGCCTGTACGGTGCAGACCTGGGTTGGGCTCACAGTCCAAGGGGCTGACACAATCATGTTGCCCATCCTCCTGCCGGGGAGACAGGAATAAAGTGGCCAGCTGGGAGACCATGTGCCAAAACGTGAGGGTGACACGTTCACTGAAAGGTGGAAGAAAGACCCAGAGAAAGGTGCCAATGGCAACAACTCTCGTTAGTGCTTCCTCTTGAATTGTTTCCTTGAAGGGGGCAGTGGGGCCCCCTGGTGGCCATGGGGGCTGCTGCAGGTCAGGAGTAATTGGCTCCAGTCTCTCCCACCCAAAGGCTCGGCCGTCAAGAAAATTACAACAGGGCGCCTGGGTGGCTCAGTTGGTTAAGCCACTGCCTTCGGCTCAGGTCATGATCCCCCATTGGGCTCCCAGCTCTGCGGGGAGTCTGCTTCGCCCTCTGACCTTCTCCCTTCTCATGCTCTCACTCATTCTTTCTCAAATAAATTAATTAAAAAATCTTTAAAAAAGAAAATTACAAGACAGGGTTTACTCTGTTACTGTTTAATGTCGAACAGGTGGAACAACATATAGGTCCACCAATAATTCAAGTTTTCAACCAATCACGAAACACTGATGGCATGCAACACTTGGCTGCACTGTGTGTGTGTGTGTGTGTGTGTATACAAACACATATATCAAGATGAAAAATACTGCTAAGTGAAAAAAGGCTTGAACTATATATACAAAAATGTCATGACATCCCACTTAGGATAAAAAATGCAATTACAGTTGACTCTTGAACGTGAGCTTGAACTCATAAGCAGGTCCACTTATATATGGATTTTTTTTTTAATTACAGAACTGTAAATGGATTTTCTCTTCCTTATGACTTAATTAACATTTTATTTTCTCTAGCTTTACCATAAGAATATAGTATATAATACACATTACATGTAAATTACATGTTAATCAGATGTTATGTTACTGGTAAGGCCTTTCTGGTCAACAGTAGTCTGTTAGCAAAGTTTTGGGGGGAGTCAAAAGTGATATGCAGATTTCTGACTGTGCTGGGATCAGCGCTCCTATACCCCCACCCCGTGTTGGTCAAGGGTCCGCTGCACATTCATGACAGACATGACTGTAAATGGGTAGGTGTGTTTCCAGAAGGACAAACAAGAAACTCAGCATTACCACTGGGAAGGGGGCTTCACATCGTGCGCAGAAGAATAAAGGGAAGGTGGGCGTCAGGAGAAGGAAGAATACAGAGCAACTTCTGACTTTTTACTATATTTCTGTGTTGAGTTTTTTGTTTCTTTTATTGTTTGTTTACAATGACTGCATAGTTTCTCACTTAAAAATGCCCAGCACGTGTTCAAGTTAAAAAAATTAAGTTGCACTGGGTACACTGAGCGTATAATATTTAGTATAACAATACATGTTAGGTATACAAAGAAATAAGAGTAGTCCGGAGGGCAGCAGGACTCCATAAACTCCATAAGATGGGGGGGTCAGCGACATCCCACTTTCCGAGGATCATCATGGTAACAGAATTCTAAAGCAGCAATGCTGGATACCAGGTGTGGCTTTGAACCAGGAACAGCAGTCTGTGAGAGCAAGCGCCGAAGGGGCAGGATCGGCATCCGTCTGCCCAACCTCCTCCTTCAGCCCCCCAGTCTTGGGGTGGGAGGTACCATCCTTCCCAACTGCAGGGGGGCAAAGGGGGCACACAGGCATGACGGGGCATGGTCCGTGGGGAGCCAGGGTATGATGCCAGATGATCTGGCCCCAGAGGTCATGCCCAAAACTTTGGCTTTGCTCCTACACCAGAGGTCACCTTCAGAACCAAGGAAAAGGCAGCCCTCCCAAGCTAGCTTCTGCTGTCACCCTGACAGGACACATGACTCAGGCCTCACTGTACTCGGAGACCTCAGGTCATGGACCCTTGCCTTATAGTGGGTCCCAGGGGGGTGGGGTACAGAGGAATGAGGAATGAGGAGTTACACCCTGACAACTCGCTCAAAATGTGATTGCGAGGTACAGTAGTAGCTGGATTCGTAGAGACGGAAGGAAGGTAGAACAGTGCCTGCCAGGGCCTGGGGGAGGAGGGAACAGGCAGCAACGGTTGACGGGTTACAGTTCCACTGGAGATGACAAAAAGTTCTGGAGATCTGTTGTGCAACAACATGAATATACTTAAAACGACGGAACTATACGCTTAGAATGGGTTACGATGGTGACTTCTTTGTTACAAGTATTTTCCACAATTAAAAATTTTGTTAATAAAATGATTTTAATTTCCCAAAAGGAGTGTGTCACTGCACTGGGAGAGCTCCAGCTGGGGAAAGTGACCTCAAAGAGCAACTTACTCAAAATCTTGCTATCACTGTAATTTAATGAAAGTTTTGAGAGCCTTCCCCAGAAAGAGAGGCAGTTGTGACAGAATTTTATTTTCACATGCGTGTTTTTCTTCATTCTGAATAAACACTGCATTTAAGAGCTGCTATACTAGATATAGTCTTTTACCATATTTAAATATTCAGAAGTCATTCACATAACACTGTAGCATAGGATTTAATAGAATAGCAAAATATCATATAAAAATAAATGAAAAGCTTCCATATCCCCACCAAAAGGACTTCACAAACGTGCGTGCATGTGTATGGTAAATGCTCCTCATAATCTCTTCAAAGGTCTTCCCCTCCTTACTGCTCTAACCAGACCCCAGAGCCCACCCCAGGCAGGACACTCAGGGGCAGTCTCTCCAGCCCTTTCCACTGACCACTCAGGCAGGTGCCGCTGATGCGCAGGCCAGTCACAGCACAAAGACAACTTGGGCTGGAAAAATCATCTCCAGACAAGACATAATGGCCGCTGAGCTTGGATTCTGGGTGTGGACTTTTCCAGCCAAGAATCACACACTGTTTTCAAAATTGGGAGCCTTGGGATATATGTCACTGGGCGAGAAGTTCAGAATCTCATCCAAGGGTGGGCCTTCATCCTCCGGAGCAATTTCGGACTCGAACATCTGCTGTAGCAGGGCGTCCACGGTCCTGTACTCTAGGACGAAGGAGAAAGGCAGGCACGTGGGGTTGCACATGCTGGGGTCGGAGGGAGCAGAGCCCAGCCCGAGCAGACATGGGCTTTCTGGAAGGATGGCCCCTGAGCCAAAGACAATGCTCTAAGCATGGCTAGCCAAACAGTCTTTGAAAGAAAGGATGAGGAAGTCAGAAAAGAATCGCTCATCTCTGCTGGCCCAGACTCCATGGAGATCGGTAGCCATGGAAGGTTCTAGAGACCAAGGAGCAGGTCTTCCTTGAAGGACAGAGGAGAGTGACACCTGCCAGGGGCGTCCTGCTCCTGCCACTGTTCCTGCAATCTATGCTGTGCTTCTCCTGCTAGGTTTAGTGCAGGCGCCCTGGCCAAAGCCCAAAGTGACAGTCAGGTTGCTCTGGGTTACTCGGCCAATACGGCGAATAAAGTAATTAAAGTTGGGAAGGGCTCCTATGCCCTGCACACGTAGTTAAGGCTCTGGGGATACTACGGGAGGCAAAAAGACAGGGCCCAACACACACGGAGCTGCAAGTGCACAAGGAAGACCGACAGCGACCAAATTGTCACTCAATGACAAATGGTATGCAGCTGGCATGGCAGGTCAGATTTGCATTCTGGAAACACCTCACTGGCTGCAGTGAGGAGCATGAATTGGAAGAAGATTTGCACTGGGTTAAAACTTACTTTTTGATGCAATTCTGAAGTACAATCCTTTTAAGGCCTTCCTTTTGTTGTCTCCATCATCCCCACTAAAGTCACTGTCCTTGACGTCCATGTTATCAACAAGCTTCCCATCGTGCATTTCTTCTCTTCAAGGAAGAACAGACATGAAACAGGGTCAGGTCCCTCAGCTGAGTCCCTCATGTGTCCTCCCAGCCATGGCCCCGTGTCCCCATCCAGTCACATCCAGGGCTCTCCTCTGGTCAGTGAGGGTCCCTGAGAACCGGCGCACAGGCCCACGCTGGATGCCACGGGGCACTGAGGGAGTGAACGTGGCCGGTCCTCTTCCAAAAATCTGAGGGACACCAAGGGGAACACACTACTTACTCTTGGATTCCCACTCCAAGCTCTTGAATCTTCCTCTCAATGGCAGTTTCCACTTCACTTTTTTCTAAGGAGTATGCCACAAAAAACGCCTCCAGGATGAATGCTATGAAAATACTAAGAAAGAGTGAGAGGTAGAGGGTGTGAGCCATGGTGCAGGTGACATGAAATCCTAGTTCCAAAGAATGTCTGAGCCTAAATAAGACTGCAGCCCATTGTTGCCAAGACAGTACAACATGGAAGGGAGAAATGACAGACACAACACTTCTCAAGGATTGGACCCAATTTTCATTCATTTGGAAAAATCATTCTTCTTTTATAACCTATTTAAACAGTGAATATTAAAAAGAAAATATACTTTCTTTCTAGGGGAAGCTTAAGCCAAATAATTGTTGAATTACTTCTCTGTGAGTATCTCAAGTTTCCGCACAGCCTGGTGGGCTGAGCAAAGGCACAGAGGGACAACTTAGGGATGTTGGTCTATGAAGACATCCCAAGATGTACAGCTCAGCAATGCTTCCCTCCTGCCCCCGACTCAGGCCAGGATAACAGAGATAAAAAGCTCACTTTGCCCTCCCTGGGCATCTGCTTACATTCCAAGTGAAACTAAAGTCTCTCCCCACTCCCCCAAACACACACACACAGGAGAGGACGGACAGGCCCAGCAGTTCTTCTAAGATCAGTTTCCTTCTCTTGGGGTTCCCCCCTGCACTCCCCCTCCAGCTGGTATGCGCCACACTGCTCAGTGGGGATCAAGGTTCGAAGGTTCAGGAAACTGACAGGAGAGGGGCAGAAATATCCCTGTCCCTGCTGGTCCCAGGGCTCCAGTAACCTCTGTAGGTGCCACCCAGAGAGGCACTTCTTTCTTGCTCCTTCTACGTCTCCCGTTTAGGTTGTGTAAGGACAAGCAGGCCTGTCGGAGCTACCCATGGACTTTCTTCCCCTCCCCTCCCTCAGCCAGGATTCTTGAGCCCTTCTGGAACCAAAGTCAGTACGGTGGTGGCTGGCCACCATGGGCCTGGCGTGACAAGAAAGGCATGGGTGCTGGGATGTCCCCCCCAAAGTGGCAGGCCCAAAACTGTGAGAGGGCTATGACAACCAGAAAACCTCTCTGGAAAAGCAGTCCAGCCTCCAAGGGGACCCAGGCTCAGGTGCCATGAGGAATGAAGGAGCAAGAATCAGAGATATAGGACTATTCTATAGTCCTATTTATAATCTTTTATTTTATAGATTATCTTATAATCTTTTATTCCCTTTTATGCCCTTTCCAGTGGTGGGATGTCACGGTGGCTCTCAAACAACGACTGAGGGCTCTCCTGGAAGAGGGGCCAGGAGAGAGCAGTTCCATCCTACCTGCTAGGACAGGGAGGGACCAGAGTGGGACAACTAGGGAACCGACTGGGAGGCTCTGAGAAGCCAGCAGATGGCTGGATTTCAGCAGAGGGGGAATGGTATGCTCGAGGGGTGCAGTCTGGTTCGGGAAGGAGAGGATCACTGGCCGGGGCACCAGGGTCCTTCTGACTCAAACAACTTAGGAGACTGGGAGACGTGTACTCTGGTACAGATGCGCACTGGCAAACAGTGATAAACGCAAGTGTGAAGGAAAGTCAGACTCCTCCCTTGCAGGCCCGCCCACAGCGCACACCAGGTGGCTGGAAGAAGGGGGAGGGGAGGAGACGTGGACTTGCCAACCCCGCCGGAGTCAACTCACTTAACGATGAGAATGACGACCACAACGTGGAAGCTGATGAAGTACAGCTTGGCCGCCTGGTGAGTCACGAGGGCAAAGCCGCCTGCGAGGAGTACGCAGCTAAGGAACCAAGCCTTTGGGGAGCTCGGCAGGGTGCCCTGGGTGCTCCTGGAAGTCCCTCCGGGCGCCTCTCCCTCCCACCCCAGCCGAGCAAGCAGGCAGCCTGGGGTGGGGGTGGGAGGGTCCCATGCCTCCGTGGAAAGGATATTGTGCCACTGGTTAACCACCGTGAGCTCCATGAGCACGATGAACGAGGAGGCCAGGTCATTGAAGTTATTCCTGCAGTATCTGTCTCGGGCAAACGCTGAGTCTTTCAAGGCTGGGTTCCCACACACCAGAGCATCGGGGGTGGTGAAATTCGGGTCGAAGAACCGGACTTTGCCGTGGAATGCTTCCATCCCGATGATAGCGAACACGTAGTAGACCACCTGCAATGGGCAGCCCCGGTCAGCAGGGGGCGCACAGAGCTGCGGCGTCACAGCACGGGGTCAGGAGCCTGCAGGAGAGGCCCAAGGCCTTCGGACAGAGGTGGGTCACCCGGGCAGAAAGGGGCGCTACTCTGATTCCGGGGTGGCTGCCCTCCCCCACCCAGGCCTGAGCGGTGTCAGGCTGGGCAAGGGTGGACGCCGAGAGACAGAGGACAGGGCCAGCGGGACCACACCACAACCCTTCCCGTGGGCTTACAGAGTCAAAAACGAAGCTGCTGGACAAGTTAGTGGCTTAAATACTATTAACAATGGTTGGTCCTCTAGGAAAACAATAATAAAGTTGTATCTTTACCCTGTTTTTTATAGGAAAATAAATTCCAAAAGTACCATAGAGTCAAATGTAAAAAACAATGAAAGAACTGGAAAAAAAAATTTTTGAGTAGGAAAAGGCCCCACTAAGCATGATTATAAAAAAATAAAAGATTATAAGATAATCTATAAAATAAAAATTATAAATAGAACAATAGAATTTATTTAAATTTTTATATAGCCCCCAAAATACACAACAAAAATCCTCTACATAGTGGGAAAAAAAAAACCTTCAAAAAACAAAACAAAAATAAAACAAGGGACAGAGAAGGAAAAGTAATTCCACTATAAACTACTTACCAACAGCCTATTTCCCTAATTGGCAAAACACTCTTGCAAATTGTATTTAAAAACGAACAGAAGAGGGGCTGCCTGGGTGGCTCAGTGGGTTAAAAACGAACAGAAGAATGGACCAAGGACATGAACACGCAGTTTACGGAAAAATAAGGGAAAGTGCCCAAAAGAACATGGAGAAGGCACTCCGCCTCGTGAAACACGACAGAAGCACAAGGCAGAGCAGCACAGTGCCATTCTGTCCCCTGTCAGACTGGACGACGGGATAGTGATTGGCAAACCCCAGCTGCGAGGAGGGCAGAGGAACAGGCTGGGACACGCCGTCATTGGGGAAACACAGGGAGCACGCCTTCGGAAGGCCACGTGCCACCATCCACCCAAGGTCTGAACACATGTCCCCTTTGACCTAGCAGCGCCATGCCGGGGGACACACCTGGTGGGAACAGAAGCGCTAAGATGCAGGTCCAACAACGGCCCTGCCCATGCCCCTTCTGATGGCGAAAAGGTGGGATCACCCAGTGGTCTGCCCACTGAGGGGCTGGTCGGATGTGTTCTGGAATCTTCCCTCCGTGGAACACTACTTTTTTTTTTTTTAAGATTTTATTTATTTATTTGTCAGAGAGAGAGAGAGCACAAGCAGGGGGAGCGGCAGGCAGAAGGAGAGGGGGAAACAGGTTCTCCCCAGAGCAAGAAGCCCGCCGCAGGACCTGAGTCGAAGGCAGACACTTAACTAACTGAGCCAGCCAGGTGTCCCCGTGGGACACCTTTAATCACAGCAGAGCTGACATGATGCGTTTGTCCTCCAGGACATATGACAAAGATATTAGGCGGAGGAAAGCCAGGCAACATTTTGTGTGGATTCTTCCATCTGACTAAAGAATAAACCAGACACATACAGACACATCTGGGATGTACTTGTCGTATACATAGAGATACTCAGAAAAAGTAACAAGAATCTTTTAATAATGGTTGTCTCTGGGAAAGACGCATGTGGGGGATGGAAATGGGACACCTGAAGTCAGCCTTCCATTGTTTGGTAGAATAGGATTTCTTACCATGATAACAGAAAAGCAAAGTGAGGACCCTGCGGCGGTGTGACCACGGTATCTGAGCCCCCTCATTCATGGCGTGGGACCCCTCCAGAGTGGGAGCCCCCAGGCCTCTCACAGCCCTGGGTGGCTGTGTTCTCACTGCTGGGGATCTGAGGGGCAGGCAGGCTTCAGCCACAAGCTGAACAAAGGAGGACCTGAGGCTGGGGTAGGGGGCGGACAGCCATGAGCCAGGAGGGGCCTACACCCCGAGGAGCACCTGCTGGCCAGGCAAACCCACCTGGACCATGGGTGACAAAGAGACCACGACTGAGTGAGCCCACTGAAGTCATGGTGTCTATTGCCGTAGCCATGAACCTTAGCTGGCATATGCCCAGTGTTTCCAGACACTGGATATTTCTAAACAGGCCCACAAGACACCAGGGAGTCTCATTTACTTCATCTCCCTTTCTTTTCCTCACTTCAAAGAAGGCTTCCCGAGAGCTGCCGAGAATGAACGTCTCACCACTTGTTCACGCAGAATGGTCACAGGCGCGAGCCACTTACCAAGATGAGTCCACCAAACGTCAGTATCGTGGGACCAATGTTAATTAAGGTGGTCACAATAAGCCGGAACCTAGGATGAAACAAAGTTTGTACCACAAGAAGGCAGAAGGGAAGCCATCAGGGAAAACCAACACCCCACCAGCAGGTTTGGCTTAATATGCCCTCCCCCCAGTCCTGGACCTGTTCTTTAGACACTGTCAGGAATGTGCCCTTCGAGCTGTGCACCACTGGGGAGTTACTCAACCTCTCTGAGCTTCATTGTCATCGCCGGTGAACACAGGGTCATAAAAGCCCCTATCTATATCAAGCGCGGTGGGAGGAATTGCACAAGACAACGGTGGGCACACTTGGGGGAGCCTAGGCGGCCACAGAGCCACCACTCTGCAGCCATGCACAGCAGGCACGGTGACGGAAAGGGCCAGGGTGACAAAAGCAACGGATGGAACCCCTGCCCTCGGGGAGCTGCCCTCTGAGTGCTCCTTGCCATCTTCGCAGGCTTCCCCCCACCACCACCACCCCAAGAGTGCCAGGTCCTGCACACAAGGAGCACTCGGGGCTTCTCACGGGGTGTGTTGATGGATCGGAGGCAGGATTGGTTTCTGGCAGGCTGCGGGGTGGGAACCCCGTGAGGGCACGTCACCCCGTCTTTACCTCTGAATGCTGACAATGACCCGTAGGAGCCGGAGGATCCTCAGAATCAAGACAAAATCTAGGACCTGCTGACTGTTGTATTTGCTGGCTAGAAAGAAAAACCGCAGCCATATGACGTTCTGTTTTGTGAGTGCCTCGGGCCTGTCCCTTCTATTCCAGGAGGTGTGAGGTCTGGGTTCAGGGGAGCAATGGGGCTTCACCTGCAGAGCCCGATGGGGGCTCCGAGCAGTGAGGAAGCAGGTGCTGAGTGAACGGCTCATGCCGCCCTGGGTGTCCCTCCCAGCCCCGACCTAGAGAGTCATGAGTCGGTGTAGACTTCAGACTGGCCTTAAGAAACGACTGTGGATCAGGTTCTACAGAACACATTTCTACAAGCCCTTCCTTCCCCAGTATCCCTTTCCTAGAGTCTTGTTAGGAAGCTGCACTATTATAGAGCCCCCATCGGGCTCCTTGCTCGGCGGGGAGCCTGCTTTTCCCTCCGCCCCTCCTCCTGCTTGTGCCTGAGCACTCTCTCTCTCTCTCTCTCTGTCAGATAAATAAAAATAAAATCTTGAGGGGGGGGGGGGCTGTCCTATGTCTAAACAACGCCCTCTGCTGTCTGCTGGTAGGAGTGCGTGCATGGCAGGCAGACTCAAGAGGACAGCGGGCCAAGGACCTTGCAGAATTCCCGCTGCGGCTGGACCCTGGGGGGTGAGTGAGATGGGCAGGGGGTCAAAGGCATAGAGGTTAAGCCATGAGACAGAGGGCAGTTTTGGAGAGGAGCGGACCAGGTGGGTATCTGGTGTGATAGACGCATACAAATGCGTTCTCTAATACACAGTTAAACACAAAGCCACCAGCCCTCTCCAGAGCATGGAACACTCCTGCTAACCCTCTTGTGTCTCCACTACTCCCTCCCAAACCCCTCACTGGTGTGCGGCGGAAGTTCAATAAAGACACCACATTGAATGCATGGTCCCAGGAGGTGGCGAGGCCAAGAGCCCGGCACTGACCTGACTGAATGGTGGTGTTGGCCACAGTGGCCACCAGGGCGGCGACGATGATCAGTGTGTCAAACCTAACAGTGCAGAAGCAAAGTTGTGAAGGCTGGAGGGAAAAGACTGTCAAGTTCGGGATACAACCCACCCCGAGAAAACGTGGAATCCGGTATCTTATGCAAAGCAATGAACCGGCCATGAAACTGACTTCTGTAACTTTTAGAACAGCGGAGACAAAAAAGAAACGCTGCGTCTGAACAATCCAATGATCATTTACTGGCTGCTCCAATGAACCCCCCAAGGGGATTTGCAGCAATCACACAATTCTTACCACTTTGTCTTCCAAAGTAACTAGATCCTCGCAAAGAGACTTTGGCACAGTTTCAGAATATACAGTAAAATCTTTCCTGGTATTAATTTTACTAAGTGTTTGGTAACTTTTTAATGAAAAGGGGTAATATCCATCATAGCATTACTTTTCTTTCTGACAACAGTGCCAAAGCACTGACAAGACTGGCTAGTTCCTCTCTGCCCACACGCGCATCCTAGAGAGCTTCCTGGCACCGAGAGCAATGATCACGGAGATCCAACTCTGGTAAGACAGGCATGTGTGTGCCTTATGTCTCTGCGTCCTGCAATTCTTAACACACGGTGGCATCTGAGATGGTCTGCAGCACGGGGGCGATGGTTCCAGACCAGAAGGTCCCTAGCCTGGAGAAGAATGAGGCCCCAGGTGACACATCCCATGTGGGAAAGAGCTTGTTAACAATCTCATTGTCCAGGCAGACACATGCCACATTTTTTGATAAAAAGACTAGGGAATGGGCCAAGGGAGCTATGGAAGGGCCTCCTTAGGTTTAATGCTCTAAGATCCTTCCCAAACCCAGGATGCCACGATCTGTGATTCTAATTTTAACGAAAGTTCGTTCAAACTGACCTCATAAAATAACAGCTCTGTCTGTCCCAGATGGTCCCACACCCCCAAGATTGCATGATAAGATGCCACAAAACTAGGCATCTGGAGCTTGGGAAAACTACGAGATTCCCCCAAACAGACAGAAAACCCCCACTCTCTGCCCACAGCATCTGCCCCCACCCCCTCCCCAGAACACACGTGCTCACCAGTTCCAGAACTGTTTCTTGCCAAAATAGGCTCTGGGCTCGTACGTGTACAGTTTCAGAAGAATTTCAATAATATAGAGAGAAAGGAAAAGCCACTCTGCGTAGGAAATGAAGGGGTTTTTCTCATCCAGGGCAATGAAAATGGCATTTATTAGAATGATGATGTCATAAACCCAGACAAAAATCCTGCCGTGAGGGGAAAAAGAAGAGACTCTATCATCCCACGTTTCAGTGAAGGGAGCACGTTTAGAGGCTTTTACGGGCTACTTTGTTCCCGACAATGTGAGGACTAGGAGATACCCCCAACCCCCATCCCAACACACACACACACACACATGCACACTCATGACTCAAGTTAGTAAAGGTTCCAGCACAGCCAGGGTCCTGAAATTCACCTGCCTCCCCCTGATGCTGGTGCCGTCCTTCAGCCAAGGAGAAAATGAAGACACAGTGACCAGGGGTGGGGGTGGGGAATAGAGGCCTGGTTTTCCCAGGTCCCCCTCTGGGGGCATGGTACCTGCATCAGACAAAATCTTAGGCAGAAATGGGCCTAGAAGAAGGTTTAGGGCTTAGCAAGGGATCATGACATCTCTTCTCTTTGTCCCCAGAAAATTAACATCCTTCACTAAGAAAGTTTCTGAAAACCTCTTCACACCTAATGCACACAAGCCTTCCCCGGGACTGACATGTCCATCTTCCTCACCGAGTCTGGGGTGGGATGGGTGAAAAACGATCAGAGCTGGGCTCTGACGCAACTTTGCAATTACAGAGCAGGTTGCTCTGCTCATGTATCTGTCCCCTGTGCTCCAGAGAACCCCAGGCAAAACCTGGGCATGGCCTCGGGAAGACAGAAGGGGCTCCTACCCCACTGCTCTCCGTGAGGCTGTAGGCTAGGACCCTGGATGCCGCACACGGACACACAAACATCCAGCACGTGAAATACATCACAAGTTCAAGGCTGGGATCAATGGGAAGAAACCTCTACATAAAAGGCTTTGGTAACTGTCGAACACGGGCAGCCCCTACGGTGTGCCCGCACCACAGGCTGAGCCACCTTCCGGGGTTTCTGAACCATTCTCTTCCATGAAACACTAAATTCAAGGACGGCAGGGGGATGAGCCATTAATGACAGGGGCACTCCAGGCCATGCATACGAAACCTAAGATCTCCAACCAGAATGAATGGTTTTTTTTCTGGAGTCCACTTACTTGAGACTAAGACAATTAATTGGCCTTCTTCACGACCATTCTGCTAACTCAAATTCATGAGTTTTTAACCACTGACTTTACAAAATCAGAGTGTTGAACGTGAAAGCAACTTCCTGAGGACATGGGTGGGGCTTGAACCTTCTAATTTCGGAGAGTACTTAGCTTCTCGGGCTCAGAGAGCACATCCAGTCTGTGGCCCTTGAGCATCTTAGGAAACAGGGCAGAAGGAAACATAATCGAGAAGCCTGTCCTTTTGGTTAAGGTCACACAAAGCACGTCCAGAACCCTTTACAGGCCTCCCTAAGAAACCAAAAGCAGCAAGCAAGGGGCTGATTTACAGCTTCAATAATGAAATACATTCAGTCCAGACAGCCTTGGCAAACCCCTCTATTTTTAAAGCAACTTGAGAAAAACTGCCCCCATCTCACTTGCCTGTGCCGAACCATCCTCTGGACCAGGAGGCTTGCGGACGACTGGTAAACCCATGGCATCCACTCTTCCAGCGGGTGTCTCTTGGTGTTCATGGTGACCACCTGAATGTTGAGGAGGTCAGCCAAGCGTAGAAAGTTCATTTTGTCTATGATGTAAAAAAAAAAAATTGATCCCAAGTACATGGCCACTGTGACACTAAGGTTCAAAGAGTGATGTCAAGTGAGCTCACTCTTGTTTCTGCATTTCCCAGCTGAAGATCTGAAGCTTCAAAGGGTGAACACCCAAGGTCAAGGAGCCAGCAAATGGCAGAACCCCCCACCTGTCCTCATTCAGACCTGCAGCCGACCCAAGGCCACCAACCGTGGCACATGATTTTGCTAGTTCACAGATGCCGCTCCCTCACCCCTGCCTTCCACCCACCTTCTGCCTCACATGTGCCCCCCCCTGCTTTCACTGTCTGCCTGACTTAACTTTCCAGCCTCAACTCTACCAAGCCTCCAAGATAGGTGTAATCCACACCCTTCCTCAAGCCCCTATCCTCTTCTCTGCACCTCCCTCCTTCCTGCCCCTTCTCAGAGATTCACTCAGACCCATAGCTTCCACAGCAAGTTGGCCCGCCAGCTAGGCCAAAGTTCGCTGAGCACCTTCTTGACAAGCCTGGCCCCATGCAACTACCAAGCTAGTGTTCTCCAGACCCGCCCACTGCCCAGGGTCCCTACCCCGTGCACCTCTCCCCAACCAGACAGGTCAGATGCTGACCACGAGTCAACCCTGCTTGTGCATGGACTTCCTGCTCCGTACAACTGAATGAATTTCACCTCAGTGGATGGAATCGGAATGTTTAAAGGACATTGCTGTTTCCCACAAAGTCCTTCTTACAATATTTTTCCAAGTTTTCTTTGAAAACTAAGTTGAAGTTTGGAAATGAAGTTGACGTTTGGAAAATTTAAAGAAATCGTCAATGCAGACCAGGTCTAGCCGGAACAGCCCTCATTCCGAGGGCCTGGTGGATATCCACGCGTCCATTCCAGTTTTCAGGAGCAAACAACAATGAATGATGGCTCTACCACAGCGTGGGCTGTGCGAGAAAGATGCCATCAACAGATGCCCAGGCAAAGATTCCCAGGCCTGGCAGAAGTGTGACCTCCTCCGAGGGAGGAGCCTGAATCAGACACAGCCTTGAGTGATGTGACACACTCATGTTGCTATCTTCCCTACTGGTGGTAATGGTCCTAAGAACATTCTGGAAAAACATGAGGCTTCTCGCTTCTGGAGGAGTCACCATGTCAACCAGGCCCCACGTTTCCTTTGCCATGGCTATTCTTGGTCAGCGTGAAAACATTCTACAGCACAGCGGGTTTGGGCCGTGCCTCATTCTCAGGTTCCTCTGCTCCCTTTTGTCACTGACCAGCCTTAGGTACCTCTTACAGGCCTCACCCTCTGCAAGGTCACTACCCACATTCAAAGAAGAATCTCTGAAGATGGGCAGAGGTGGTGGTGGTGTTTTGGTACCCGGATCTTCTCTGGCACTCTCTAGAAAGTTGTGTGGTGGCCTCAAAGAACCCCTCCTTCCTCTTGTTCATGGAATTCATGGAGGGATACATCCAAATGAGTAGGGGAGCCAGGAAACTTGGATGGGTCTGGTATGCTCCGTATTTATCCCGCACAGCTGAATGGCATCGTTTAAGACCTACCCTGCTTACAGCCCAGAACATGGAAGAAGCTGACAAGACAAAGAAAGGCAATTCATCTTCCCACTTGGGAAATGACTGTCGAAATTTAGACTGACCTCAACAACAAAGAAGTTCATATGAGTATGTCCTGGGGACCATGTGTATCTTTTCTGGATGAGGAGACACCCAAGTATATGGGCCTCCCCACACCTGACAGACAGAGACAAAGATTACTAAAATCCCCCATCCCTAGGTTTGGAATATCTCAGCTTTTACTACCAATCCTGGAATTCACTTTACAGAACGAACTGCAAAGAAAGCTCGTAAGACCCTAAAGATTCATTAGCATCTTCAGAGTCCCAATCATCTAGAAGCAACAGAGGTACTAAACTATCAAAGGAGAATTCTCAAAAACAGAGGGGCTGAAATCTGGGAACGCCTGGGCTAGAGTGACCAGCCACACCACCCCAGTTTTTGAGGTGGGACATCCAGGGGGACCCAAGTCCTGACCGTCTCCTCTAAGTACTAGAGCAGTGGTCTTCAAAGAGTGGTCCCTGGGCCACTGCTGAGCCTGTCCTTGTGTTCCCCACCCTCCATGGGATAAATGCTGAATACAGAAACTTATAGAACGATGGCCAGGATCATGTCCGCTGACTCTAACAATGAAAAAATGGGACTTGGATTTTACACTTTTTCATTTCATTTTCCCGAGGACTGATTTTTGCTGTACTTCACCAAAGTGTCACCAAAATGACTGGTGGGACATCCAGCAGCTTCACAACACACAGCTTAGGAAGCACTGTGCTCAGGGGTGGCCCAGGGCACCAGCTGCTCTTCCCCATCATCCACACAACTCTAATCCTGACACGCTGAATGGCACAGGGAACCCCTGCCTGTCCCTAACGGAGGACACCAAGGCAATTATTCAGGCTCTAAGAAGCCTGGCTCCTGACTCGACCTTCAGAGCCACGGCATGGAGCGGGGTGGCTGAGGAGACTTGCTTGGGGCTCAAGGGAAGTCGCATGTCAGATCCTGTTCATTCAAGAGGAGAAAGGCCCTCTTCCATCCTGGATCCCAAACTCTCACTGGAAGACATGAGCTCCCCCCATTTAGCAGTGTCTTACTGTACATCCCTCTCTGTTCTCTCTCTTCGAGTAAGTTCTAGAGACTCACTGTCATCTCCTTCTCCCACCTGCACGGAGTCCTCTTAAGGCCCACAGCTCTGCTGGACTTGTTTGAGGGTCCTGTCTCAGGTAAATTTACATCCGGTCAGAGGTATCCCTTCCCTTTTGGTATGTTTCCATCTAGACTCTTCTGGAAACGGATGACGTGAGGGTGTTCTAGAGTTTGGGATATATTTTGGTCACCTCACATCTTGTCACCACAATTTCCCATTACGTGACTACCAGAATCTGGGGCGGTTTAGCCCAGTGACAAAAAGCACAGGCCTTGGAGTCGGACGGCCTTGACCACTTTGCAGCTGCGCAGCCATGGGCAAACTCCCTAACCTCTTCCAGTCTCACTTTCCATACCGACAAACAAGGACGACAAACATCCCCACCTCAGTGATTGCGTACACGCCACATACAGAAAACAGGACAGCGGATCACGCCTGACACACATAGAACAGATGTGAAGTACTATTCGTAATAATGACCAGCCACAAGTGCCTGAACTTTAGGTTACTTTCAACTTTTTGCTTTTGAAGACTGAATGTGACATAGATGCTGTCCCTAAAGCAGGGTCAGCAGTGGAATGACCGGGACAGGGTAAGGGCTTTAAGGTCTCTTTACATGTTGAAACTCACATGGGGACGGCCCTGTCAGAACACAGCATAAGGCCCCTAATCCCACTGGACTGTTCCCAACAGAGGTGCCCACCTATATTTTTATTTGCAAATTTTAGAAAATTAAAAAAAAAAACACACACAAAACAGTAGTGCTGTTTTACGAATTGCTTTCGGGAGCCACCCACTTTGGGAAGTACGGTGAAGAGGAATGTCAGAGGCTAAGGCTTCTTACCCACGTAGCCCTTCTGTCCTTCATCAGAGATCCTCAAAAGGAGCTCCAGGTGGGGACTGCTGATGTGTGGCATCACAGTCCTGGCCAGCCGCCTCCAGTGGGCCTCCATCACCACAAATTCTGAGCCCACCTTGACCTTCAGAATGTTGAAAGCCTCCATCATTTTGTGACGTTTCAGGTACACCAGCTTGCGAATCTCGTTCTTTAAAAAACAGAATTGTGGTCTTTAAAAGAAAACATCAAGAAAGTCTTGTTCCTTTCCCCTAAACGTGTCAAGATAATTGACGAGCCAAAGAGAAGGCACCGATGGGTCTATTATTAGGCAAGGTCTGTAATCCCTCCCCAGCCGCAGGTCCACGAAGCTAACCCGTCCCCATAAATGAAACTCATCTTACCAAGTCTACGGGAGGGAGCGCGTGAGGGATAATCTGTGTGGTGAGAAACAGAACAGCAGGAGGCAGACTGGTCCCAACTCCACTCTGCCCGGGAGGAAGGAAGATTCCAGAAAGGAAGGAAATCGGGTGTGCTGCTGAGACACGGGGAGACCCCGAAAAGGGAGAAGATAGAGCTACCATTAAGTCAATCAAGAAAGAGAAGGGGAGGAGGAGAAAAGTCGGGGAAGTGAAACTTGGCTAGAAGTGATCCGGAAGGAAGAGGTCGAGAGCAGGAAGAACAGCTGGGCCTGCCTGGAGCTGCCCTCTGGCCTTGGCGCAGGGAATCTTCCAGGGACAGTAGGCTGGACAGGCCTCCTCGGGTTACAGTCACCTGAAGGCCACTCCTGCTGTTCCCTGTAACCCCGTTACCCAATAACGTCATCACTTCATTGATTACATGGCTAGGCTGTGAATTTTTAAGGGGTGTGGGCTGTATCTTAATTGTCTTTGACTTCTCCACACTTGGACTAGTGTTGGGTGCTAAAGCGCATTTAAGATGTCCGCTGACTAATCCCTGTTGCAGAGGATGACCCAAAGAAACACTGCGTTGAGACCGGGGAGCGACAACAACAGTTCTGTCCAGCAGTGACAAAGGGGAGGCACGCCAGGCTCTTTAGGACAGCCTCTTTCCACCCGGAGGGAGGAAGTGAGAGTAGGAGGGTCTCTGAGGCCTGGCCTCTGGGGCAGGGCCAGCTCAAGTCTCCACAGTGCAGAGACTCCACAGGACCGGGACAGGCCAGACACCTTCCAAGGAGATTTGGGCCAAATCTCAGACTCCGCCCCACCACCTGCTTGCTTCTCCTTAGCCACAAACCTTGAAGTTCTCCCTGACTTTCTTCTTGTTCCCTGGTGGCCCCATCCCTATGCAATGAAAAATTCAGAACAGAACCAAAATGATCAAGAACTAGAAGGCAGTGTCTTTCCTTAAGGAAAGACTCTCCGTGCAGCTAGTTTTACAAGATGAGAAAACAACCAAGCAGAGATGTGTGCAGCGGGGGTGGGGTGGGGGAGGTGATGCAGCTGAGGCATCCCAGTGGGTGCTGGGCTGGACATAAAGCAGCCTCCACCCCGAGCAGTCAGAACCCTCTGCCCACCCAACACCTCTGGGAATTCTCCAGACATAAATCAAATAGGCAGGTACCCAGGCAGAAACTATTGGCTTGAAGAAGTTTCTGCTTCTGCCGGAGAGCAGAAAAGGAGTTGGGGGCTTGGGGAATATCCCCAACTCTCATTCTTACACAAAACATTTCAAGGAGCCATGAACAACTTCATGCCTTAAGAGCAAGGAGCAAAGCAAGGGCTGCTGCTGCCCACGATGTCCAGACGCACTGTCAGAGCCATAGCAAAGACGGCTAAGGAACCGCCCCACCCAGCAGAATAGAGCAAGCCACCACAGAAGTCTTCAGATCGGCTGGAGCAAAAAGAAAAAGGACACTTTCAAGTCCAAAGCAAATGTGTTCGCCAGTGGATCCAGCCCAGATGCCCAGCCCCCTGCTGCCACCCCCCTTCCGCTCACGCACAGTACCTTCAAGTGCTTCCTATAATTGTTGTAGACCACAGCCAGAAAGACGGACATGAAGATGTAGGTATTGATGATGATGTAGGTTATGAAGTACAGAGAATACCACCAACTGAAGTTATAGGCAGGCATCCTAGAAGGAAAGAGTCACGCGGCATGTTTTTCCATAGCCTTGGCCCCCAGCGCACAAAAGGTCAGCCTCGGGCACAATCCACATACACGAGGTGCAGCAAGTCCTTCTCCCTCTCTCCCTGTCCCCTAGATGGTGTAGTGCTGTGCCATGAGACCGCAGAGCCATCGCCACCCCTAACGCTAAACAGCCAGCTCCAAGCTTGCCTTCTTGATTTCTTAGTGCCTTATGGAGGCGGCAACTAGGACTTGGGAGATCCCTCAAGCCCATTCCCTCCCTTCACAATGAGAAAATCGAAGCCTAAAAAGGCAACTGACTTGCCCAGAACCAAGGAAGGAATCAAAGTGTGGCTTAGGCTTATATTTAAGGCTCTTCAGGACACCAGGATGCTTTGCTGGAGGGCCAGGTCATTTTCTAGCCACTCTAGGACATGAGAAGGAAAGGGAACCCTTAACAATGGCGCCAGGGCGAGAGGCATAAATCAGGATGTGTGCTCACTCCACCTTTAATGGAAATTGGATTTCATACATTTCATACAGGGAGTCAGGGGGCATGGCCGGCCGGCCGCCCAGGATCTGAGGGAAAGATCCAAGAGGACGCATGGAGGGCCAGAACTGCGCCTCGCCACGAGTGTCTGAGCCAGACCCAAGAGTGAGCAACAACCAAGATCAAGTCAATGTCATGAGCAAACACAGAACTAGATGACAGAAAGCCTTCCCCTGCCCCGACGTGCAGTATGGCCTGAGGTGGGATTGACATTTCCAGTTAGAGCCCCGTCCATGCCCTGGCCCGAAGAGATGTCTACTCAGCGTAGCACTGTTTAACAACTTTACTTCCACAAACGAGGTTAATCCATAATACGAAGGACATTGCGGGGGGGGGGAACCACCACAGGATGTTTTCTTCCTAAGAAAACTCCACATGTGTGGAGAATTGGCATTGTGAGGAGGAAGGCACCAACTACTAATCTTTACGTTTCTTTCCTGTTTCATTTAACCAGAAAAGCACATCGATGTTTAGGGGAACAAGCCATGATTCCTTTATAAACACAGCTTAGTGTTTAGATTCAAGACTCAAAAAAGTCCCAGAATAGAAAGCAGGCTCCAATAGTTAAGACTGGTATCTCAAGAGATGTCTCCTGTTGCTTTCAGTTTAAAAAAAAAAAAATCACCTCAATTTAGTTTTAAATAGAGAGAGGGTAGGCTATCATCAGTGCAAACATTTTACATTCTTCAAAAATTTTTACGATGAACATGAATAAATAGACAATCACTATTTCTCCTGTCTCAGCCCTGCTGGTATCAGGAGACAGCCGCCTTTAACAAAGTGAATTCCATCATGGTAACAGGTGCCCGTGAACTGAGTCAAGATGAACGTACATGACATCGGGGCTGTTGGCAGTAGTGACCAGCACGTAGAGTTCAAACGCTATCTCCAGGATATTTGTGAAGTAGGGCAAGCCTTCCACTGTTCGAAGACCCCTAAAAAGGAACCAAAAACACAAAGTGAGAAACTCACACACATAAATAAATCTGTGGTTTTTTATATACTCTGCCCCTGGAGTGTCTGAACAAGGAAGATGGCACCTGGTGACAGATTCTGCCACCAATGGGCTGAACCCAAACAGAGGAGAATTTACAGGCAGAAGTTCCCGGAACAGTGTGCTCACCGATCCCCAAAAAGCTTCAAGGCCATAAGGGAGAATATCAGCACACTGAACATGAATAAGAGGAAGACGTAGAGAATGTCGGGCAGAGTGTTCCGGATGCTTCTGAAAGTTCTTCGGATCTGTAAGGACAAAATTTAATTTCATTTACACGAAAATCAGCTCATTTTCTGCAAAAACAAAAACCAAGCCCTTGCGTTATCCTAAGGAATATCCTTACCTGACGACTTTCAGGGAAGTTAATTAGGAAGACTGGCCTTAAGGCCCTTGACCATCGAACACTGTGGATATTAACAGCTTCCAGGGAACCATAGATAATCAAATCGATCAAGGTCAGCTGTGAGAGACAAGGGTCAAAACTGTCAGTGTCACCCTGCTAGAGGACACACATAGGAAGTGACAGTGTGAACCCACGGACCCCTCCCGGATTTAGAAATATTTCTAAAAATAAGAACAGTACAGAGAGGGAGTCTCCATATTCTGAGGGTTCAGCAGATGGGTGAAGGGAAATCACAACAAATGTTTTGAGCAAGGTGAGAAGAGACCTGGGCATTCCAGGCAAACGAGCCATCACAGGTTGAAGAGGTAGTGGTAGGTTTGTGGGGCGGCAGGCAACTCGGGCCAGCCAGAGTGAAGAGGGCCCTGTGAAACATGTTTGCAGGACTGAGGGCACTGGGTAGTCTGTGGAGCCCACAGACATCTTGGAGCAAGGGAAGGAAGTGATGGGAGATGCACTTCCAGAGAATTAATCCAGCGGCAGCATCTAAAATGCACATATCGGGTGGGGATCTGAGGTTGAGGTGACTGTGGCAGCTCCTGAAAGAGGTGACCAGGGCCTGGACCATGCTGTGGGAACAGAATGGCATGCAACAAAGAGACAGAGCATGGTCACATTAGACACTACTGCAATAGTCCAAGCGGGGAGAATGGAAACAGGTCAAGAGGCTTCCTGAGGGGCTCTGGGGAAGCCGGATGCAAGAGAGAAGAGAGAATCTTGACTAAGAGGACTAGGAACTGGGTGTTGGGACTTAAGGCACCACCCACAAACAAACAGCTAGGGTAGTGGTGGGGCAAAGAGGGTTTCGTCTCGTCACGTGTGTGTTAACACACAGACATAGAAACTGCTAGCGAGAAGTTGGCCACAGACAAAAGAAACTCAGAGGGGAAACCAGTATCAGCTACAGTATGGGGATCCCTACCTACCAGTGCTTGTGGAAGCTGTGGCTTGGAGGTGTGCAGACTGAGCCGGGAGGTTAATCAGAACCTCTGTTCTGCTCTTCTGCTGACTATGAAGTACTTTTATCTAATCACTGAAGGGGCCTCTCTGGGCATAACCACTTAGCATATACCCTCCGGATCTCTCTGTGAATGTCATACACATTCTTTCCTTTTTCTTTTTAACAAAGATGAGCTCCAGCTCTATTGTAACTTGTTCTTTTGACTTAATGAATGAGTAGCACCTCCCCTTGGTAATAGACACAAACACTACTTTAACACTATTTCAAAAGGCTGAGTGGAGGGGCCACATTTTATATAACATGTATCTACTGTCAGGAAATCGAGTTGTTTCCAATATTTCAGTACTATGAACAGTTCAGCCATGACCAATCTTAGGGATAAAATCTTTGAACACATCCTTCTTTCCTAAAGATAAATTCCCAGGAATGGAACTCCAGGGTTTTGAAAGGAACTACCACACAGCCTTCCAGAAAGACAGCTTATTTGTCCCATCAGTGGGGTAGAAGGTTCTTTTTCCTCTCAATCTTGCTAACACTGTTTCATAGGCGAACACATGATATTTTATTGTTTTAACATATATATATGTATATATATATATATACATATATATATGTATATATATAATTTTTTTTTAAATTAGAGAAATGACATGTTTTTTCTTAGCTACCATTATTTTTCTTCTGTGAGATGCCTTCACCTATTTTTGGCACTACTGGAGTTTCTGTCTTTTTTTCCCCCCTTTTAATTTGGAAGTGCTCTCACTATGCTAAAATACAGCACTCTCACCATCATATTTTGCCTTCTCTGTTCTTTAGTTGGGGTTCGCACTTGTCTTGTGCAAAGGGGGTTTGCTGTGCCAAAGTCTGTCACTGTTGCTTTAACCAGGTCTGTTCGCTTCACAGTTTCTGCCTTTGACCACAAACTCCTCAGGGCGCTATCATGAGCACTCACCGCTATGGTTACCATGATGCAGATGTTTTTCGTATCCTTCCAGAAAACCATCTGAGGGGTGACTTTCGCAAAATGTACAAGTCTCCCGAAGAACGCAGTCAGGCAGAGTACTTCTGCTATTGAGGTAGCCTGCACAAAGAAAACAGAGACTCAACATAGCCACCCCCCACCCCGCTGCCACTTGGAAATTCAGCATTTGCCCTCTTGTAACCGCCCCACTCCCCAAGCTCCCTTGATGCCACCCTCTGAGAATTAGTGATGTCCCTTAATTTCTTTGCCAGTTGCAACCAAATTCTTTGCTGGTGGGGATGATATCTTCTTCCTAGGAAATCTGTCCTCGAGCCATGAATCCCAGGAGCCAACAGGCAGGGCTTCCTGGGAGGGGCTGAATCAGCGGGCAGGGGACCCAGAGGCATTTCCCCAGAAAAGGGGAGGTCAGGGATGATAGACACAGGAATGTTCTGGGCTCTCTAATTCTCACATTCATATTTAGAACGGGCACTTAGACGTTCAGTTTCTCTAATAGTACAGTAACTGCCCAAAGACATGTTTTGAATGTGGGTCATTCCTTAGCCATCTCTGTCACTGCTGCCCTCTCTACCTATGTGTGGTTGGTTGGAGGAAAGAATGAAGGCCACTGAGCCCAGTGCCACGTCCTGACGGTCTCCTCCCTAGGTTAAGGACCCCAGCTCTGAAGTTCCTACCGGCAGCTAATTGGCAGCCTGGAACCACGGCCCAGGCTTCCCTGTGACGGCCCTGAGGCAGCTGGTCCTCCCTACCACAGGCACTCAGTCTCCAGCACAGGCAGAGGAGGGTGGCTGAGCAGGAAGAGGTGGGGAAAGGGTAACCTGGCCAGGTTAGGGTAGGAAGACAGAAAGGTCTGGGGTGTGGGCTGGAGGAATGGATTCCCTAAGGGATGGGAAGGGCTGGCTCTGGGCCCTAAAAGCAGCAAGGTGACTCAATATTCCTCCCCCCACATCATGGGTCCTGGGCGCGGACACAGACTCCAGCTCCCTGCAAACATTCTTGCCCTCAACCTGCTCACTCCTGAAGGGCTCTAGAGATTCACTGTCAAGACCAGGAGTACCAAAGGGCCTGGGGCAATTCCAGGACACCCCAGCTCAAAATAGGATGTGCTCCGTAACGCTGTCCCTGGGCCAAAGCCCCAGCATGACACATTGGCACACTGGATTCTAGAGACTGGAGGCACAAATGCTGGCTGACAGAGCGCTGTGAACCCAGGTGGCCAACCCAAAGCTCCCGTGGCCACTAACACCTGCAAGGGGGAGGACTCGGGAAGGGAGGCAAGGGACTGAGAAGACGACCCCAGGGAAGGCTGATGGTGTCCAGAGTGAGCCTTGCTAGGGAGGGCCTGACTGTCTGGACCTGTGAATGCACAGCTCTGTTTCATCTAACTTTATGTTTGTTCTGATAGTTCCTGGGCCACAAGTTTTCTGTCCAGAGACTCCATTATTTGTGGCATCTCCTCATATGGAAGCCTGTTACACCACCACATTGACGGCCCCCGAGGAACCATGATTCCAGTCTTTAGCCCTTGGCGGTGTTCTCCCCTGCTGACTCAGGGCTCCAGCACCTGCTGGTCCTTGGCCAACAGGAGAGCAGCAAGTGTTATACAAGTAGAAGCCTGATGGTGCCCATACAGGAGGGCGCTCTTTCCTGGACCTCCCCTGCCCCAACTGGGAGAAGCCTAAAGCCCCACGTAGCAGCCGGGTAAAAGACAACAGGGCCCTCTGGTCCACAGCTCCAACCAGGCAAGCTCCCAGCTGATGGCCAGCAGCCCCTGCCAGCCCCCAAGGATCAACAGAGCCTCCACATATCAATCTCCACAGCTCATGACCCCAGAACAGGAATCTGCCCGGTTGGGCCCCATTACCCACAGAATCATGGGAGGCAATAGAAGCCTGTTCTTTAGGCTAGGGTCGATGACCCTTGTCTGTGAAAGGACCAGACAGTACATACTCTGAGCCTTGCAAGTCATCCAGTTTCTGCTACAACTACTCTAGGAGGCAGGAGCTGCATCAAGCTGAGAATTAACATGAACAGATGATTAGTTACTCACTGGCACTGATCTGGAATAGATGGTTCATTGGTTGTATTACTCAAAATCCTGTGTGACCCACTACCAGGCACCAATAAATACGCTAGTGATCTAGGACTTAAGAAAGCTGGAAATGTGGCAAGTACAAGTTGCATATTCTACCATATTATGACATTGTCTACTTGCCATTTAATAGATATGCTCTGAAAATACCATTTTTCTATCCAGTTTAGCCCTGGGTACACAGAAGACAATAAAGCTTCTACTCCACTGAAAATGCCTATAAAGGAAGCAACAGCTCAGTGAATAAACAGAATTCTTTCAGTCCCCAGCAATAAAAATAAAATCATGTTCATGTGTATTGAAATTGCGGGGGGTGGGGGAGGAAGAGGGCCCACCTCATCAATGACAAAGTCTGGGTAGCCATTTTGTTTTTAATCCTTACCAAGAAAGGCAGTGGAAACAGCGCGGGCTCTTCAAACAGGGCGAGGGAAAAGTCCACACAAATAAAGAAGTAGATGGCTACTTGCATTGTCCAGTGGTTATAAAAATAGTAAAGTCTGAAGACAAAAAGAATAAAGGTGTTTGTAAATAAGGAGCAGAAGTCAAGCAGAAATCAAACTTCCCACTAGAAGACATGGTAGGTAAAATACAGAGTATGGCTCTGGCCACATTTCCTTTCAATTCTGAGGAGCAAGGGACAGTAGTGAATAAGGCACACATTACAAAACACTAACAGAAAAAAAAATCAACACATTATCATATCTCAAAGGACAGTCTCTTAACAGTCTCCAGCTATGATTAAACCTTCCTCGTGGTGATTACAACAATAATAAGAGAATACTTTTAGAGGACTTTAAACAGTGACTAGTACAGAGTAAACCCTCAGTTAAAGTGACCTATATGATGTGGCATGGTAGCCTAACCAGTTTAAACGTGCATTGTCCCATCTTGATAACATGATAGACTCAGAGCGATCTCATAGTCACAAGTTCTCTTCCTTCGGGCGGGGGACAGCACCCCCCCATGCCGCAACCTGCTTGAAGCTTCCAGGAATGAGGCATTCATTGCTTTGGGAGGCACTGGCACTGAGCCCTGATGATAAGAAATATTTTTTCCTTATTTTGAGCCAAATCCTTGGTCTTAGTTCAACGTTTACGGGGTGCGAAAGAAAAGACGGGATTCTTAGGAAAAGAACAAACATATGGATTACATCACAAGGCAACAGAAAGAAAAAGAACAAGGCTTTTCATTGAGTTGACTCTAAGAGGACAAACCGTGCCTAAGAGGAAAAGGTGATAATGTGTTTACTTTGGATGCCCTCTCTCCTATTCTGGATGTTCTCATTTACTTGTGTATCCGTCCCTAATGCATTGATTGAATGCTTTCCTATGTGTGAGACACCATGTTCTTATAATTAAAAAAAAAAAAAAGCATTGGATTTTAGGATTTTATCCAAATCTATGTGTCATACCATAGAGACTTTTCAAAATGTTTGCGGAGACAATGTCTTCAGTTTGGGTTTAACTTAAAGACTACTGGGCACTAGAGGACAGTTTGCTCTCTGTGACAGCTTAACACTTTCCTTACCTGATGGCCCGAGGAGATGTTTCAAAGGGAACATTTCTGTTGTACTGGGCATCAGAAACATAGGCAGCTGCTAGCAGGAGGTCCTGGTCCTCCTTGGGAGAAAGTAAGGAGAGAACACCAGTCAGAAGAGGAAAGGACACTTCTCTTTTTCATATTAAGTACAAAAAAAAACCCCACACCCCCCCTTCCCACTCTTGCCAGGGGTAATCAACATTATAGGACTGGTTGTACACCTCCAGATTTGTTGCTGGGCACTGGAAATCCTGCAGTGGGCCTGAGACACAGGCATGCTGGACCTTCTTGAATTCAAATATAGGCTCTCAGAGGAGGGAATGAGAGCAAAAAAGCACTGAATCGTATATATACATGTCATTCAATGGCACATTTATACTAACATATATAGGGCTAAACACACACAAATATATAAACACAAAATTATATTTAGGGCATTTGATGGGTGGTTAGAGTGTTTTTCAAGGGTAATTTTTACACATAAATCAATGCCTTTCTGGATAACTTGTGAAGCTAACTCCTTCTTAAAGTATGACCCCACTCTATAAATACATGTAATTTTAAAGTAACAAAGTTGTTTTCATATGATACAAAGTTTCCTTTTCTCACTCAATATATTCTGGACATTTTTTTTCATGAATGAATGAATATATATATTAATTGAATGAATGAATGAATATATATATATATATGTATATATGTATATATACCTATCCCATTCTTTTTAATAAACGCCTGTTCCTTTAGGTAGCATCTCCCTTTGTTTTCTAGTTTGAACACAATTACATTGAATTTTAAAAATATATATATATTACACATGGACACACATGCATAGCTTTGTGCTATATGAATGTTTTTATAGGATAGAGTTGAACTCGTGAATGAGAGGTATTTGCATTTTTTTTGTTTTGACAGATAATACCAAACTGTTTCCCCAAAAGTTATGCCTTTGATATGCCTCTAGATAGTTCATGAGCATCATGTTTTCCTGCTTCTCACCAACACTCATATAATTTAAAATGATTGATAATATCCAATCAGCCAAAGTGGCATCTTGAGATTTGACTCTACATCTCATGACCAGTACAGCTAAGCCCCATTTGCAATGACTCTCACTTCTGATTCTGTATAAAAGAGATAAAGCACACATACATACAGACTAGCTATTTAGACCTTCCTATGTACTTGACAAGGAAAACAACCTGATTATCTGTTCAATTACCAGGATTACCTCCTTAGAACATAGGACATCTTCCTGCTGGAACTGGGATGGAAATCTATTGGTCAGGCAAGCCCATTTTGCAAGCGGATCTAGTACTCGGAAAGGTCAAAAAATTCCAAACTTTATACAAATATACAAAAGTATGTATCTGTAGACACAGCAGAACTGTGTTCCCTCAGTTTATTTCATATTGCAACACCTTAAAAAATAAGTTATATTGCATTAAAAAAACACAAACAGTTGTTACTAAGGTAAGTCTTTTAAAAGTCTTTTAATAGGTATTTCACTACAGAAGATATATGTATGCATGGCAAATAAGCACATAAGAAGATACTCAGCATCACTAGTCATTAGGGAAATACATATTTTTCTTTCTTTTTTTAGGAAATACATATTTAAGCCCCAGTGAGATGCCATTTCATATTGACTACAATGGATAAAACTAATGACTGACTATGCCAAGTGTTGACAAGGATGTAAGGCAACAGAAACTGTCACACATTGCTGGTAGGAATGGAAAATGGTGCATTTCTTTCAGAAAACAGTTTGGTAGTTTCTTGGCCATTCAATTCCTAAGTATTTACCAAAGAGAAAGAAAGCATATGTCTACACAAAGACTTTACATCCACCCCGAGAATGAGGCTTATGTTAGAACACCATTCCAAAGTCATACTTGTATACAAATATTCATAGCAGCTCAACAATTGAACACCAGAACCAACCAACATGTCCATAATAAGTGTATAGATAAACAAAATGTGATATATCTCTACCATGAAAGATGACTCAGCAATAAAAAGGAATGAATTACTGATAAACACAACAAAATGGATGAATCTCAAAATAGTTTTGTTGAGTGAAAGAAGCTAACTCCTGTTCTGCTGAAAGAGTACCTACTATATGAGTATATAAAACTCTAGAATATGCAAGCTACTCTAGAGGGCAGAGACCAGATCAGTGGCCTGGGAACAGGGAGGAGGAGATGGGGAGAGGGAGGGACGGCAAACAGGCACAAGGAAACCTACAGGGGTGACAGATATGTTCACTACCTTGACTGTGGCATTAATATCATGAGTGTACTCATCTACCAAGACTCACCAAACTGCACACTTAGAATAAGTATAGTTTAGTTTTTATCAATTATAGCTCAATAAAGCTGTTAAAAACTGCCCCCAAAAGATGAATGTTTCCATTAAAAATAGATGCCAAACAACAATCTCAAAGATGAAATCACAGCGCTAAGAACCTGTCACCTCTCAAGTCACGGGCCTTCTCAGGGCTGGTACAGCAATTCCTAAAGGCAGGTTATTAAAAACTGAGAAGAACTGGGAGCACCTGGGTGGCTCAGCCCGTTCAGCGTCTGACTCTTGATTTCGGCTTCAGGTCATGATCTCAGGATCATGGGATGCAGCCCCACGTTGGGCTCCACACTCTGTGCAGAGTCTGCTTGAGGTTCTCTCTCTCCCTCTGCCCCTCCCCCTGCTTGTGATCTAAATAATAAACAAGTAAATAAGTAAATAAATACATAAAATCTTTAAAAACTAAGAAGCACCATAAAAATGTGTTAGACACTTCATCACACATTTTCCTTTTACATGTTTAAAAAATATTTTAGTAGGCAATCTATTAATACCAATTATTTTTCCATTGAACATCTCAAACACCAAGGAACACTAGAGTTCCCCAGGATATACTTAGAAATCTGTTTGGGATAGAAAATGGCAAGCATCAACAAGAGTTTATTTTTTTAAGTGAATGCACACTAATCTTAAGAAAGTTCCCATAAGCCCCCTAAAGACTGTACTGGAACAGCAACAAATTATAATATGAAGGCCCTTAAAAAATATATTCAGGTCGGGGAACTCCAGTTGTGCTCTCTCTCTCTCTCTCTGACAAATAAATAAATAAAATCTTAAAAAAAAGAAAAGAAAGAGAGAGAGAGAAATAAATAAATAAATAAATAAATAAAATGCTGGAGATGTCTCTCCATCTCTCCTTACTGTGTTCCTGATTTCTTCTTTCTCTTTAAAGAATGATTTCTCTGGGGGTGCCTGGGTGGCTCAGTGGATTAAGCCTCTGCCTTCAGCTCAGGTCATGATCTCAGGGTCCTGGGATCAAGCCCCACATCGGGCTCTCTGCTCAGTGGGGAGTCTGCTTCCTTCTCTCTCTCTCTGTTTGTATGTGTGTGTGTGTGTGTGTGTGTGTGTGTGTGTGTGTATATATATATGTACATATAAACATATATATATATATTTATTTATTCAGGTCAAAATCTCTTAAAGCCACTAGTGTTCCCAATTTTAAAAGATGATGCTACTAACATTCTCCCAGTCCCAGTGAAAAGGTTTGTCCATAAACGAGCAATTTGACAAGCACAGATTTGAGATGTACCATCCACATGCCCTCCAGGTAGAGAACAGAAAAAATGCTCAGCGGCAATCCTCAGCCAGCCAGGCCCTGGCAGTTACCTCCCTCAGCCACTAACCAGGCTCCCCACACCGAATGATATAAGTACCAGGGCACCTCTTCCAAACCCCCCTTGCCACCTGAACTCATGCCTGTTACGTTGAAATACACTGACACTTTCACAACAGCCAATCTACCTTGACATTGTTTCCAAACTTTCCCATTCCTACCTAGTCCACTTCTGACATCTGTCTCTCTCTCTTTAAAATCTCACCTCCTTGGTCTTCTGTGCCTACTTGTCTTCCTTCTCTCCATCCTGTTTCTGTGCAACTTCTAAGGCCCCCGCCCATCTTTGCTTGGGAAGAAGTACTCTCCACGGCAAACTTACTGCAATGACCATTCTCACTAGTACTAAGGCCATCTGGATCTTTCCATAAAACAAATCATTTTCATGCAACCCAAGAATGTGGCTTGTGTCATGCATGCTCTTTCAAAACTGCATACTTTCAAGTTTACATGCGAACCACTGCCCCTATCTACCATGAAAACAAGCAAAGGCCAAATAACAATGTTCCCCCAGACACAGCTTATGGATAGCTTTGCACCCCACGACAGCAGCCCCGGCCTTGGGGAGGCACCAGTGTCTGCCAGGACAGCAGTTCTGAACCCCCACAACACCTCCCACCACCTTCCGAGCTTTGCTGGTAAAGAGCCTGTTGCCCAGACCAAGTGCATCAGAGTCTCAAGGAGATGAGACCCTGGACGACTCTGTAAAGCTCCCACAGGATTCCAACATGCAAGCAAGATGGAAAATCACTGGCCTAAATATGGCCACTTTACTACTGCTTCTTGTACGTTTTGTATTCTCATGGCACTAGGGCAATAACTGAACTTTTCTGGATTTTCTTTTTGTCCTCTTCTTCTAGCTGTGACATCCCCTTCCCTCTCCCCAAGATCTGAAATGTATTTAAGACTTTTGTGTTCTCTCCTCCAGGCCTCTCAACCCTGTAAGGCTTCCTTCTGTGGAAAGGTGGATAACTTATAATCCCTTAGGGAAAGAGGGCAGAGAAAGTGCAGGAGAGTAGGGAATGATCACTTCCAGAAGCTTTCAGGAGAAAGCAAGGAAGTTCCTTCCCTAAGCCCCCCAGTGTAGGAATAAACGACTAGAAGTTCCAGATACCTTTAAGTCAGACAAGAACCTTGACAAAGCTGATGATAGAAGTGCTTTTTTAAAACGCTGATATGTCTCATTTAGCTATATAAGAAAATTAACCTAACTAACAACAACCTAAGATAAAAAGAAGTTACCGTAAATCTTAAGGAAAATTCTCTCTCGTCTCAGTTTTTCCATCTGCTACTACAAGCACTATACTTTCTGTCTGTCTCTCTCTGCCTCCCTTCTTTGCTCCCATAAGTTATGGGCACAATGATGCCCAGAATAGAGATGGTCACTGCTTTCCGTGCAACCCCCATTCAAAAGCTTCTAGCGACTTCTCTTCGCCTAGAGTTCCCGCAGAATCAAATGTCAAACTTGGCATTTAGGGGCTCCATGATCTCCCCTCTCTCCAACTTTGTTTCCCTCATTTCCCTACAATAGCCCTCTTCTCTGGTTGAAATTAGTGGGTGCATTGTCCACTGTCCCACTACCAGCCCCATTTCCACACCTAAAACCAGGAGTACACTTTCTAGAACTTTCCTTCATGGGGGGCCATCTCAAATCTCATCTCCTCCATGAAGACTGACAATACCAGCAGCTTCCTTCTCCAAAAAGAAAGACTGCCAAGAGAAGCTGGGGTTATAAAGTGTATTGTGGGCATTTCCCATGAAGAAACAGCTAGCTGCTGAGGGTAAGCTAGGCCATGGCAGCCATGGTGAGACTGTGAGAGAAGAGGTGGCAGTTAGCTGTTAGTATAAACACCTCCTGTCCCTCAGTGCAGAAAGACCAACAACCCGCAGGCCAAGGGCAGCCTAAAGATGTGTTTTGTTTGGCCCAGAGATTGCTTTATGGATGCTGGCTACTAGTTCAAATTTTTTTAAAAACTGGAGCTTACACAAAAATTTGAACTTCTGGTTTCTCTTTGAAAGGTCATAACATCTGGCAATGTTGGGCTCTATTTCAATATGCTTTTGCTACCCACCCCAATACTCAGGTCACCTGAATAAACACTCATTATTTTTTCAAATTCTGTGTCGGCCAGGCAGCCCTTCTGATCTAGACCAACGCAGCTAATCCATATGGTCATCTGGAAGAGGTGGCCCAGGACAGCCGTGCTCACGTGTCTTGGCCATGTGCATGGAGCAGCAAGCTAGACAGGGCTCTTCTACACGCTGGTGGTGAAAGGGTTCCCAGGAGCATGAGGAGAGCAACCACCAATGCTTGAGTATTTTTGCTATCTCTGCTTGTGTCACCTCTGCTTCTGTCCCATTGCCTAAAGTAAGTTTCACGGTCAATGGTCTCAAGGGCTGGAGAAATTGACTCCATCTCCTGCTAGAAGGAGTTGCAAAGGCTCATTGTAAACCGGGTTGTATGCAGGATGGGAAGAGTCTGTGGCCATTTCTGCAGTCTGTGATAGCCCCTGGAGCCAAAGCCAACTGGAAGTGGATAACCATGGTCTTCTTCTGGCAAAAGACATCCCCTCCATGTCACCATAAGCCCCACTCTCCAGCTGAGTCATTCCCACCTAGGCCCCTGGCTTTATGTTCCTCCCTGGCCCCTGTAGCCAGTCCAGCTTGTGGCCACCTGATGTAACTCATCCTGTCCCAGGGCTTCTTGGTTCCTCCCATTTTCCTCCTGCAAAAAAAATTCTCTGCAAATCACTATATAAGGGAAAACCAGGAGACGGAGAGCCTGAAGCCAGGGCAATTGAAGACTTGAATGAAAAGTTTTAAGTATAAGAAGATTCAAAGAGAAGCACACAAAATACCGGGAGGCGATCACACAGATCACAAAGTAACAGCGGCCAGGACGTGGGCTCTCAGCCGTGGCTGTACTTTCCATACTTGGTACCTTTAAAGTGACTGTTACCCAGGTCACACTCAGACCAATTAAATCAGAATCTCTGTGGTAGGGTCTGAACCTAGACACATTTCTAAAGACTCCCCAGGTAATTCTAACCCACAGTAAGGCTGAGAATCACTGACATTGGATTATTTCGATTTCAAAGCTGAAAGTGTTGGTAAAAGTACCAAAGGAGTGGATTGCCACCTTAGCATCTGCCAAAAGAAACACCAGGCAGAAAAAGGATCTTTAAAAAAAACAAACAAACAGGGGGTGCCTGGTTGGCTCAGTGGGTTAAGCCACTGCCTTCGACTCAGGTCATGATCTCAGGGTCCTGGGGTCGAGTCCCACATCGGGCTCTCTGCTCAGCAGGGAGCCTGCTTCCCTTCCTCTCTCTCTGCCTGCCTCTCTGCCTACTTGTGATCTCTGCCTGTCAAATAAATAAATAAAATCTTTAAAACAAACAAACAAACAAACAAACAAAAAACACTTGAAAGTAGAGGGTAGAAATGCATTTTCGATGACTAGGCAGTTTTTTATTAAGTGCCCCAAAACTAACCATTTCATGGTAGCTACCAAGCATCTTCGGTCAGAGCCTTGCTTGGCTTAATGACTCAGTCATTGCTGTTATCTCAGAAAATGAGGGGTTCTGCTAGAATTACCAGCCGGTACCAGACTCCTCGCCTTGCATGCCTGCTCCCAGGGGCCTTGAAAGATACTGAGACACAAGTATGTGATTCCTACAGGCGTGAATTAAGCCAAAAGCCTCACCCTGGGCTCAATCAGGACTCTGGGCTGTTTCAGCTCTCCCTGCATTTCTTGAGGTCTCAAAGGATTAGTTGTGTGTGTGTGTGTGTGTGTGTGTGTGTGTTTGTTTTACAGTCTTCTCTTATTTAGACAAAGAAATATTAAGTACACAGAGGGAGGACATAGACAATCTTCATCTAAAAAGATGCTCTCGCCACAGAAAACTCCAGGGGTCCCAGGCCCATCATGGTGCAGAAGGAGGGGAACACCGCCTGGGTTGGGTCACAGCTAGGGACCAAGAATCCTTCTCCTCTTTCTCCTTTACCTGCTTTCCTCTACCTTAGGGAGACATGGTCAAATTCACCTGTTGGAAGTGGCCAGGCCTTTCTGAGAGACCAGCGGGCCAAAGAGGGAGGCCAATGCACCAACCAGGGATTTTCAGCTTTACACGAGAGAGCCTGCCTGGTGGGCTGCCTTAAACAGGCCACAGGAGCCCACTGAGAAGAAGCAGGGGCGATGCCAGAACAGCCCAGAGCCGAAGAGGTCAGCTCAAGGAGGAGGCGGAGGGAGAACTGAAAGACCCTTTGCCTCCCACACACTTGCCGGACGAGAAGGAAAGGCGGCACACGTGAATGTTCCCAGAGACTCCTGAAACCTGGCTGTCATTACCGTGGGCCAAGCACTGTGCTCGGGGCCTGACTGACAAGGTCTTCCGACTCCTCTGAGGTGGGTGTGACTTAGCATCCCCACATTACCGAGCGGGAAACGGGAAAATGCACCAGGTATCGGGCCCTCCTCATCTTGTCGCTCAGAGGTAGGATTTTCTGAGTCAGAGTAGGGACTCCAACAACAGGGGTTCTGCTTCCCTCTGCACTCTGAGTTCTCATCCAGAGAAAGGAAACAGCCCAGGAACGACTGCTTGGAAGCTCCACGTCTTCCAAAGAACAGCAGAGCTGAGCCCATCTGCTTCGTCCCGCGGGGTGCTGCCTCAGCACTCCCTGACCCACATCCCGCAGACTTCTTCCCGGGCGTTTCCCTGCAGCGGGACCCTCGGAGGTTTTCCTGCCGCCATGGAGCACAGAGCGGCGAGCATGGGCACCCTAGACCCCGCAGGGGCGCGCTAAATTGGCACCGGACCCCCAACACAGAGCCCGGCCGCGGGTTCCAGCGCGGCCCCCGCCAGCGGGGAGGCGGCTCCGGCCGGCTCAGGCGGCGCGGGCGCGGACTTAACAGCCCCCCACCGACTCCAGCATGCGGGACTGCGGCTCGGGGCGCGGATCCCGGGAGCTCCAGCCCCCGTGCGCTTCCCAGTGGAGCAGCCCCAGTGCCACGGCTCCCGCGGCCCAGAGGACGGAGTCAGCCCCAGGGCAGGGGGTGCTCCTCGCCCGCCTCTCCACCGGGCCCTTACTCCCAGCAACCAGCGCTGGCTTCGCGCGGGGTCGCGCTCGACCCGGGAGCTCCGCGGGTGGCCGCGCCGGGAGGGACCCGCTCCGGACCCGAGACTCTGCCGTCGGCGCGCGCCGCCAGCCCTCGGGACGTCCTGCGAGCGCGGTCGCCCCCTTACCTCCAGCGCGGGCGGCTCCTCCGAGGGCTGCGGGTGCAGGCGGCGCACACCAGCGGCTCGGCCGGCCCCTGGCATCTCCGCGGCGGCGGCGCAGCGGGTCGGGATGTGGGAGCGTCGGGGCCGCCGTGGCGGACTCTGTCCTCGGGCCCCCGGAGGCCGGGGCTGAGCGCGCTCCGCTCGGCCCTCCACGTGACCACGGCGGGGACGACCCGCGGCGGTTCCGAGGGCGGAGGACCGGCGGCGGCGGGCGCGGCGGGCTTCCAGGCTCTGGCCCCTTCCCTGCCCAGCCTCCCGGCCGCGTTCTGGATCCAGGGGCGGGGACGCGGAGCCGGAGAGGGCGTGGGCGGGTCGCCGAGGGGCCGCGGGGGACTAGCTCCGGCTGGGGGCGGCGTGGGTTGGAGGCCACCCTGGCGTAAGGCCCCAACCTTGTGCCATGGAAGCACCGTAAAACAGTTGTTTTGAGAATTAAATTCGTTCATATATATTCAGTGACTGCCACTGGCGAGGTCCCAGTAAATGCTGGTTCCTTCCCCGTCCTAGTAGAGACCCCCCCCCGGGGGGGGGGGGGGGGGGGGGGTGAACTCAGTGGGTCCTCCTAAGGCAGATACTTTTGGGGAGGGGGCGCAGCCCCTCCTCCCTTCCCCCAGGTTGCCCCCAGTTCCAGCTCGGCGGGGAACTCAGTGTTGCCAGAACTGATGCATTTTCCAGAGAAAACAAAAATGCAGATTTTCATGAGACTGTTCCTGACTTTTTAAAAAAGTTGATCATGAACTTATAACAATACATAGAAAATTCTTGAGGGCAATTCTTAGATGAGCCTTGGCCAGCAGGGCAAGGGGCCCTGGGCCCAGTACCAACCAACTTCATTGACCCTTCTCAGAGAAAGAGGAGGCCTGGCAGGGCTGGAACTGGCCCTGGACACCCAGCAGGAAGCATGGTATCCTCTTAAGTGTTCCATCCGGACCTTGCGCTAGGTATTGACGGCTACCAAGATCCAGCTCAGGAACTGTAGCAAGCGGAATCCTGCCCCACTTCTTCCCCTGGCCCCCACCCACCAGAAGATTGCCCATCTACCCCCTGGTACTATGAATCTGTTACTTTACTCCTCAAAAGAGATTTAAAGCATGTAATTCAGGTCACTCATCAGTTGATCTTAAAACACAGAAATTTCCTGGATTATCTAGGTTGGCCCAATGGAATCACGAGAGCCCTTAAAAACATCAGAGAAAAGCAGAAGGGGAGGTGAGAGATTGGAAGCCCAGGCTGGGCTCGATGTGCCTGGCCAGGATGCTGCTGCCTTGAAGACAGAGGGGTAACTGCAAGGAACTGAATTCCACCAACAATCTAAATGAAGCTGGAAGCAAATTCTGTGACCCCAGCCCCAGCCCCCCGCCTCCAGAAAGCAACACAGCCCTGCCCACACCTTTATTTCAGCCACATGAGACTCGGGGCATGGAGTCCAGCCATGCTTTGCTGGACTTTGGAACAATAGACTATGAGATAATAAAAAGATGTTGCTTTAAACTCCTAAATTTGCGGCAATTTGTTACACAGCAATAGAAAATGAATACAGGACACCAGCCTGTTTTTCAATGCCAGAGTTGAGTTCTAGCCACGAGGCTGGCCTGCTGTGAGAACACCATGTAGCTCCAGTCCCTTCATGGGCATGCCAGGCACTGGGTTTGCTACCGCCCACCTCCTCTGATTATTCCCACACAGTTCTAATATCACATCCCCTGCAAAGCTCTTCCAGCCAATGGATCACTTCCTCTCTGTGGTCCCATGCTCTTCATGAAAATAACCACACGGTGCCTCAGTTCTTCTATTTGTATATGCTGTCCCACCCCACTAGGACAAGCACCTGGTGGAGGAGAGGGCAGGAAACTTTCATCTTTGAATCCTCACTTCCTGAATGGGCAGACATATGGGAAGCAGATGAAATGGCAAAGCAGAATTCACACCAGCTTGTACTCAGTGACCCATGTCTACAGGATGTCTGAAATAATTCTTATAATGCTTATTGTGAGAGACGCCTGGGTGGCTCAGTCAGTTAAGCATCTGCCTTTGGCTTGGGTCATGATCCCAGAGGCCTGAGATCAAGTCCCGCATCCAGCTCCTTGCTCGGCAGGGACCCTGCTTCTCCCTCTGTCTGCCACTCTCTCAGCTTGTGCATGCGTTCTCTCTCCCAAACAAGTAAAAATCTTCTAAAAAAAAATGTTTATTGTGAAGATCACCATAAAACTCTGCATGCCTTTGAAAAAAGACAATTATTCTATTTCTATCCCAAGTGGTGACTTATAGAATGGTTGTTTTATGGCAGGTCTTTTAAAATGATTTTTATTTTGGTACAATGTAAATGTATTCATTGTAAAGAGTTGAAACAACTATTAGCCAGTTTGGATGAAAACATGCTCTACACTTTCCTTCACCTGCACACGCGTGAACATGCTTGCATGCAATTCTGTGCAAATGAGACCACTCCTACCCTGTAGACACTGCTGATCCCCAGCCTACCATCCACCCCCTGACCACCCGGGAACCCGGACTCGGTCAGGCCTCCAACCCCTCTCCCACTAGAGGATGATCCTGCTTGGCTAGGCCAATCTATGCAGGGTCTTTTCCTGGCAACAGTTATCAGCCTCAGTAGTAGCTCAGCCTGCCTACAAGAAGCTATGGTCCACAAGGAGTGGCTTCTTTCGCTGTCTCCCCTCCCCTTGTCCTATGAATGTAAATATAAAAACATGTATTCCCAACAGCCACAGGCAAGCATCTTGCAGTCAGTCTCGGGTGGGGATGACGCTGCACAGCAGCCAGGCACAGCAGCCAGGTCTCTGATGGCCTCATGGAAAGACTACTTTTGGCCCCTTCCTCCCCAGAACCATCTGACCTTTGAACTTAGAGTTATGTGAGCTATATTATGCAGCCCAGGAGACAGAATGCAGTTGATCTGTATTGCTGATAGGGAAAAATCTGTAAGATAGTAAATGGGGAAGGAGAGTTGTACCCTCCAGAGGGTTTGGTATCTTTTGTAGAAGTTTTTTATTTTTTTAAGATTTTATTTCTTCATTTGTCACAGAGAGAGCAGAAACAGGGAAAGCTGCAGGCAGAACAGGCAGAGCAGGCAGAGGAGAAGCAGGATCCCTGCTGAGCAAGGAGCCCAATGCGGGACTTGATCCCAGGACTCTGGGATCGTGACCTGAGCCGAAGGCAGACACTTAACCAACTGAGCCACCCAGGTGTCCCTGTAGAAATTTTTTTAAAGGATGCATTTACCTATACTTTCTAATAAATGAATAAAATATGTTCCTGGGAGGATACATAAGTAAACTGTCATCAGTGCTCACCTTTGAGCACACAGTGGGGAGCAGAAGCTTGGAGGGAGAGACTTTTTTCTTGTGTACTTTCCTACAAGGTTTCATTTTTAACTATATTTCTATTTTACTTTCATGTGTTTACATACAGTAAAAAACAAGGATGTAAAGATGGAGTTTAAATAACAATTTTGCCTATTGAATGAAAAAAATATTTTCTGTAATGGAAAAATATTAAAATTTTGGTAATTGTGCCTGAGAATGTCTATTCCTGGTAGCGTCGCTGCTGGTGGGGGAATGCACATCTGCAGGGAAAGAATGAAACAAACTTAGAAAGCACAGCCTTTAGACTCTGGTTACCAAAAAGTACACCTTGTAACAGTACCCTTGGGGTACCGTGTAAGTTTGCTGGGGCCGCCATGACAAAATACCACAGATGAGGGGGCTTAAACATTAGAAATTTGCTTTCTTGCAATTCTGGAAGCCAGAAGTCCAAGATCAAGGTGTTAGAGGGATGGTTTCATCTGAGGCCTGTGTCCTTGGTTTGCAGATGGCCACCGTCTCCCTGTTTCCCCACCTGGTCTTTCCTCTTTGCGTGTCTGCCTCCCAATGTCTACTTCATATAAATACAGCAATCTTACTGGAATAGGGCCTACACTCATGACCTCACTTTATTATTTGTAAAGGCCCTAACTCCTAATAGGGTCCCATTCTGAGGTACTGGGGGCTGTGACTTCAATATATGAATTTGGTTGGGGGGGGCACAATTAAGCCCATGATAGGTACTATCATGTACCATGTACTGTACCATGACAGTACAGGTACTGTCATGGTAATTACCATATCCCCACTTTGGAACCAAGGAAACGGGCTCAGAAAGGAGAATCAACCTGCCCCAGCTCACACAGCTTGAAAGTAGTGACACTGGGATCACAAACCCAGACCTACTGGCACAAAGGCTGGGAATTATCACTCTGCTCTGCTCTGTATAGAAGGAGCTGTTAGGTAGTTTCAGTTGAGAAAAAGTCAATCTGTATTTAACCCAAGGATTCTGCCTAATTCTATTTGCCAATTATCTCCTTGAATCACATGGGATTTGTACAGTATTTTAAACACTGCAATGCAGTAATCAGGATATGTGGGTAAAAACAACATCGTTGACAATAGAGGGCTAATCTCAACTCATCTACGAGACAGTGCACCTGCAAGACCTGCTCAGTCTTTGACCCCATCTCTTTCTCCCCCTTCTCATTCACTCTGCTCTAGTCTCATTGGCTTCCTTTCCGATTCTCAAACCCTCCACAGGGCCTTAGCACCAACCATTCCCTCAGCCTGGGTTACTCATTCCCCAGCACCAACCTGCCCAACTCTCCATCCCTTCTAGGGTTTGTTGGGATCCCACTTTCTCAGGGAGACAGGCCCTGGCTGTCTTACTTAACTTTTCAATCCACCCCTGCCCTCCCGCTGCCCTCCTTTCCTGATCTTTTACTTTTCTGCGTTGTCCACAAACCCTCTACTGTACCATATGATGTTTAACTTCTTAGGTTTATTGTTTAGTGTCTGTTTATGCCAGAGAGAATTTAATGTCCATCAGGGTGGAAATCTTTATTTTGTCCACAGATATTTCCCAAACATCTGTACCAATGCCTGAAAAATAGAAGGTTTTCAAAAAGTATTTGTTGAGTGAGAATTTTTAGAAGTGGTATGAAATGGTTTCAATCAATACTCTGCAATTAACCACAGAAAGGGGGATGTGGAAGGCTGTTCTCAAAGGACACTATCTTCTCAAGGCTCCCTCCTCCCCTT